CACTCATGTTAAATGTTCTTCCCACTGTAGAAGTTTACCTGGTGCTTTATTCATTTCCAAGTTTCTGCTCTCCAGAAGATTCTGTAGAAATGAGAAGGGAAGATTCTGCCCTCAGAGAGGCTCTAGTCTGATGTGAGAGGTCATGTGCGGAACTTTCACAAATATGGCAAGGTAGACGCACTGTTGAAGTAGTAGAGAAGTGACAGGTGCTGTTGTTCGGGCTGCATTTCACATTTCGTAATTTGAACCTATCTTGTCACTCCCTTCCCGGCTTCCCATCGACATCCTTTGGAAGTACGTTCTGGCTTGGTGCCTAAGGACATTTAAAAATAGTTCGTGCTGAGCATAAGCTAAATATATTCCCAGAATTCCTATGCTAATCAATTATTTATCCCTTACAAATGCTAAGATCAAAAATTTAAAAAATTCTCTATTTCAGCTTGACAGGAGGTCTTGGGAGATTAGCAGGAACAAAAACTTTCAAGTCTAAAATGAGCAAAATGGATAAAAATGAGCCTCCCAATTCCATTGTGTGTTAGCTCAACATGGCAAAGATTATTCCTTTGCCACCAGTAGTTAAAAGCATATATATAATTTATATGAGGAATTGATAATTTATATGGAATGTTTTGTCTTCGACTTCTCTTCCTCCTCCTCCTTCTTCTGCTTCCTCTTCCTCCTCCTCTTCTGTTTTTATTTTTTTTCCTGTGCCAGCCTTAGGGCTTGAACTCAAGACTTGGGTGCTTTCCTTAAGCTTTTTTTGCTCAAGAATGTCACTCTACCACTTGAGCTACAACTCTACTTCCAACCTTTTGGCGATAAGAGTGTCATAAATGTTCCTGCCCAGGGTGGCTTCACATTTCAGTCCTCTCATCTCAGTTTAGGATTACAGGCGTTAGATACTGGTGCTGGGCACATTTTGCATTAGATACTGGTGCTGGGCACATTTTGCTTTTTTGCTGAAAAAACATTGTACTCATCTTTTTCATATCCATATACAGAACAATACTTTACTATGAGTCTTATTTGTGTACTATTTAATTATATAATACACAGTACTTTATTAAGCCAATCAACTATTTACAAACTTTCTCCGACTCCTACTACTAGGCAAATGCTCTATTGTACGTACCCTCTTTCTTTTTCCTTTCTCTCTCTTTCCTTTCCTCCTTCCTTTCCTCCTTCCCTCCTTCCTTCTTTCCTTCCTTCCTTCTTTGAAATGCAGTCTCCCTAACTTTTCCAAGCCTACTTCCACCTCCCTAGTGGCTGGAATTTTAAGGGTAACCATCATGCCCAACCAGTTGTATTTGTATTTTGTTTACTTATTTACTTACCTATTTATTTACTTATTTTAGTTAGAAAGGTATAGGAATATGACGGCACATAGTTATGCAGATGTATGCCCAAGTATTGCTGATGGATGAATCTTCGAAATGGAGGAGGCTAGAGTATTGATTGTACTCTTTTACCTCATATAAATAAAGATCTGACAGTAGTGAATCTGTTTGATAGCTCAGCTCTTATTTCTCTTCTTTATCACAAACTATTAACTGCTTCATTTACCAAAAATATATCCTGCCTGTGACAATTCTATGAAATAAGGAACTTACTCATTTTTGGAGACATATTTTCCTTTAGCTCTGTTCTCTTATCTACCCACATGATTTTAGGTTTTTTTTTCTTCCTTCTGGAGTTTTTACTTACTATTCTTAGGCCTAGGACATATCGGAGTGGACCCACATTTCCTTTAAGATAACATGGTCGTTTTCCACTGCCTCCTTCACTCTTTTTGAGTTAGGTTTTATGTAGCTGTTTCTCTCAACATCCTTTGGAAAAAAAATACTAACAGAGCATGTCAAGGAGTCTGTGGCTCTGCTTTCAATAAGACTGAGAGACCACCATCAGTGAGGAAGGCTTGGGCCTTCCCTGCGTCCCTAGGCTGCCTTGCATCTCCCTGGAAAACATTCTTCTCTGTGGCCAGGCAGTCTGTCTCCTGGCCCTGAGCTCACACCTCCACTCCCTCATCTCCACTTGCCCCAAAGCATCCAGGACTCCCTTCCTTCCTTCCTTCCTTCTTGTTGGTCGTGGGGCCTGAACTCTGGGCCTGGGCACTGTCCCTCAGCTTTTCACTTCCAGCTTTGAACCCAGAGCCTCATGCATGCAAGGCAAGCACTCTACCACTGAGCAATCTTCTCAGCCCTGAGGCTTCTTTTCTAATATGTGTGTTTCTCTAGTAGATATGTGTTTTTGACAGAAAATACTTGCTCACTGCTTTCTTAAAACATGTATAGCCAGGAAATAGGTACTTACAAAGGTTGGGATGGGATCAAGGAGAGGCGTAGATGAATAAAGAGAAGAAAGGGGTCAAAATGCAGTAAAAAATTCAATGCATGTTCTACAAAATTCAGAAAAAGGAGAGGGGGTTGGGAGGGATGGGCGAGAATGTTCAAAGGGGTAACATTGACCGAGATGCATTGTATTCATAAACTGCTTTTTTGAACAGTAAGGTCTTTGTACAACTACTTAAAGATAATTAAAACAAAACATGTACTATTTGTTTTTTTCTTTTTTGCTGGTCATGGGGCTTGAACTCTGGGCCTGGGCGCTGTCCCTCAGCTCTTCAGCTCAAGGCTAGCGCTCTACCACTTGAGCCACAGCACCACTTCTGGCTTTATTTTTCCTGCTTATATGATGCTGAGGAATGGAACCCAAGGCCTCATGCATGCAAAGCAAGTGCTCTACCACTGAGCCATCTTCCCAGCCCATGTACTATTTTTTTTTTTGCAGGGCTTAAACTCTGGGCCTGGGTGCTGTCCCTCAGCTCTTCAGCTCAAGGCTAGCACTCTACCACTTGAGCCATAGCACCACTTCCGGTTTCCTGGTGGTTTATTGGAGGTAAGAGGTTCATGGACTTTCCTGCCCTGGCTGGCTTTGAACATGTAGTCTTTTTGTGACCTTGGTTCTTACATTCCCATAGGAGACGATTTCAAGCAAGAGCCAGGCTCTGGTGACTCATGTCTGTATCCTAGCTACTCAGGAGGCTGAGATCTGAGGATCACAGTTCAAAGCCAGGCTGTGCAGGAAAGTCTGTGAGATTCCTACCTCCAATAAACCACCAAAAAGTGGAAGTGGGACTGTGGCTCAAGTGGTCAAGTGGTAGAGCACTAGCCTGGAGCTGAAGAGCTGAGGGACAATGCTCAGGCCCAGAGTTCAAGCCCCACAACTGAAAAAAAAAAAAGATTTCAAGCAAGATGCAACAAATAGTGAAAGTAGTGGTTTTGTTTTGTTTTTTTCTTTTGGTCAGTCCTGGGGCTTGAACTCAGGAACTGAGCTCTGTCCCTGAGCTTTTTCACTCAAGGCCAACATTCTACCACTTTGAGCCATAGCTCTACTTCCGGTTTTCTGGTGGTTAATTGGAGATAAAAGTCTCACAGACTTTCTTGCCCAGTCTGGTTTTGAACCATGATTCGCAGATCTCAGCTTCCTGAATAGTTAGGATTGCAAGTGTGAGCCACTGGTGCCCAGCCCCCAACTTTTACCTTATTAATAGTACCCGCTTTTCCAGCATATTTCTTTCTGTTTTCTATAGATAACCAGTTTCCTTGGTTTCTCACCTATTCTTCCTGTTCTTCTTTTTACCTAAAAGAACAGAAATGTGCATTTTCTTCTTTCTCTTTCCTTCTTCCATTAAAGCTAACAAACTCCAGATACCCCTTCCACTTTGTGTTTTCCTTTAACATTGAATCCTGGTAACCACTCAATGCAAGTGCATCGAGAGTGTCTTCATCGTCACACTCCACTCTGAGGCAAAGGCTGATTACTCTCGCCTTTGTAGGGCCATTTAGGATATTTCCAATATTTTGCAATTACGAATAATGTTGCAGTGTGCTTTTCTACAGTGTTTGAAGTGTGATTTTAAGGTCTGGTATATGGTATTCTCTCATCTCTATATATGAGAGAACTTATATATATTATATGTAATATACACATACACATAAATTACATATATACATGTATATTAGTATATAATATACTCATGTATATATACAATCAATATTACTCAGACATATACTACATTATTATACATTACAATAGATATATACAATATATCTTTATAAAGATTATAAAGTACAAATTATATATGTATGTAAATTGATGAATGGACATTTTGCATTCACTAGTAATAAGACTTCTGCCTCAAGAAAGGGCATGATAGCCGGTGGATCACATCTGTAAACTTAACTACTCAAGAGGCGGAGTGACATCTGAGGATTTGCAGTTCGAAGTCAGCCCTGGCAGGAAAGTTCCCTAGACTGTTATCTCCAATTAACCACCAAAAAGCCGGAAATGAAGCTGTGGCTCAAGTGGTCGAGTGCCAGCCTTAAAAGAAAGAAGCTAATAGAGCCCCGACCCTGACTTGAAGCCTCAGTGCTTGCACCTCCCTCCAAAAGCATAAAGGCTTCGTAAACCCACTAGCTCGGTATATTTTTAAAGTTCTTTTAAATTCATTATTTTCTGTTCTTCTTTTTCCTCTGAAATTAACCACGAGTTAACATGAAGTCAGTCAGAGGCTTTCAACCCAGGAACGAACGGAAGAGGACTGACTGATTGATTGATTGATTGATTGATTGGTTCATCCTGGCAGTTTCGCAATCCCGGTTCGGGGCCCCTCCCATCTCGGCCACCCCAATCGCTGTGGCAATCGCCTTGTCGCCTGCAACAACTCTCTCTGCATGAAATGCATTTTGGTAATTAAAAAAAAATCAAGTGCGCGCTGCTCATTTTGTCTAATAAAAACGAATCCAAATTTACGACCGAGGGAAAAAAACGAAAGCACTGGCGGCCTCCCGGTCTCCATGGAAACGAAAACGAGCGGGGTGGAGGGGCGGTGGAGGAGAGAGCGAGGCTGACGTCATCGGAACCACCTGCTCCACTGCGCATGCTCCTTGCCGCTTCACCCGGGCCGGCTCAGGGCGCAGGCGCGAGCCTCGGGCCGGCGCTCGGCCCGTCTGACTGGTTGCGTCTCCCGCGTTGTGGGTAAATGGCGTCAGTGGCGGGAAAGTTGAGCCTCTCGCGCTCCAGGCTTTCGTGGGGATGTGTAGTGACTTCCACAGGGCTGAGTCTGGGACCGAGGTGAGCGTGTCCGGTGGGAGCGAGGGAGTTGAGGGCCCGGCCGCCGCGCTGTGGGGGTCTCGGA